AATTACTGGCCGGCCACAAAATATTGGTGGCCTCCCAGATGTGTGACTCACAAATATGGGGTTTAGGGTTCAAGAAAATGGCCCAAGGGTGGTCAACATTGGCTTTGAAGTGAGGAAAAACGGGCGACGGTGGGCGATGGAGGAATAAAACTGGTTGTCTGAACAATTGCTGGCCTCCCACCCTTCTACGGCCTTCTTACCAATGAAACAGAGGTCCCTGCCAAAAACGAACCAAAATCGATGCAGAATGAAGGTTCGGGGGCCGAAACGCGCAGCCCGAGGCCCCGAAAGCTCACTGTTTGGCACCGGAAGTGGTGTTCGACCACGAAGTCGGTTTCTTGGCCCACAGTGTCCCTCAAAAGGGAGCAAACAAGATGTATGCCAAAAGCCGGAGCAAACGGAGGTGGTTAGGGGGTCCCGAACCGAGGCACAGGGCCAACGGCTCCGAAAAACCGGAAACCGGACTCGAAACGGGCAAAATGGCCTATGACCACGAAACGTAGCCTACGGCCACTGAGAGATGATCCACGGGACCTCTCCCTCCCTTCGGGAAGAGAAAACCGAGAAAACAGAGCCTGGTTCGCAAACCGAGGCAAAGCATAAAAGAGTCCGGAAGTCCGGAGGCAAGGCTCGCAGCCGAGACTCTGAAACTTCTGAACGAGCACGATATGCAACATCACCAAGCGCTCAATCGGTGACATCTGAGTCTTAAGGCCGGTCAAAAATGGGGTGTCTACAGTTGCCCCTCTTTGACAAAACTCGAAAGTCATAAGTGACGGGAGTGAATGTCAAAGCCTAGAGACGACCCATTTTTGACAAGGCCGAAGACTGAGACAAACAGGTGAGATAAACAGAGATGTGCCGGCAGGCAGGGGCAAAATGCAACTGATAATGCAAGAAGCCAAAGGTAACTCATGGTCATGCAAATGCAGCAAGCACATATTCACAATAGATGCAACGGTTTTAAGCAAGAATGCAAAGCAACAACTATATTTCATGCAATTAAGATTGTAGAGAATTATTTAATTCTCGTCGTGTCTCACACGGAGAAGATATGATACCTGCGCGATTCGTCTGGTCGCACTAGCCTCAAATGAACCATACATGCAATATCGTGCCTGATGGTGCTGGGGATCTCTCGCTTCTTCTTGGTTGAACCACAGGTACTACTTTTCTCCCTGACTATGGTCGCAGCTTTCCCTATTCTCCAACAGGGTGACATCGCAATGCGGGAAGAAACGCACGTGACAACGCGAGTTTAAGCACAGACGCTCGGTGATATCAAAGAGACATGCGTAATAATGCAAGTATGTGCATGAGAATGCCAATTATGTGCATGATAATGCAGAACAAGGGTAAACCTGGATGTATGTTTATCATAAAACAACGAGCAAGGAAACGCGTGTTTCGGCGAGGGCGACTCGATCGCGGCCTCCGGTCCACCTCCCGGAGAGGTTACAACATGCTCAGAAGGATATACCTCACTTTCGATGAGTAAACGATGAGACATGCATCGAAAGCAAACACCAAAGGAATTGCATCTTTAGAAGATTTAAGGTCTCCTAGACCGGAAAGTGCACAAGACGGTGCGAATAAATGCAAGTGCGATGCGCAAAACAACGTGAATAATGATGCAGGATTTAAGGTCTCCTTAGACCGAAGGATTTAAGGTTTCCTAGACCAGGTGAGTGCACAAGACAGTGCGATACAGGTAAGGTGCGCAAGATAGTGCGAGTATAAATTGCACCAAACAGTGCGATGCACAAAATGGCGCGGTAAAATGCATGCACAATGCAAGTAATGGTCACAACGCAAAATAGTGCGATGAGACGCATGCACAATGCAAGACTTAGCACACAGCTTACGACATAGCATTCCATTCAATTGGCATACAGCTAACAACACAACACTTTGTTCATTTGGTCCACCGCTCACAACACAATATTCTGTTCATTTGGCACGCAGCTCGAAACACAACACTCTGTTTAATCTGGGCACACAGCTCTTTTGGGAAGACAGTAGATCTTGGGCACACAGCGCATTCTTCGGGCACGCAGCTCATTTTTGGGCACACAACTATTTTTGGGCACACAACTCGTTCTTCGGGCACACAGCTCATTTCCGGGCACACAGCTCGTTTTTCGAGTACACAGCTCCTTTTCAGGCACACAACTCATTTCTCGGGCACACAGCTCATTTCTCGGGCACACAGCTCCTTTTCAGGCACACAGCTCCTTTCTCGGGCACACAGCTCATTTTCCAGGCCCACAGCTCGTTTTTCGAGTACGCAGCTCAATTTCCAGGCACACAGCTCATTTTTTCGGGCACATCGCTCCTTTCTCGGGCACACAGCTCCTTTTCAGGAACACAGCTCATTTTCCGGGCACACAGCTCATTTTTCGAGCCCACAACTCGTTTTTTGAGCACGCAGCTTATTTCCGAGCACACAACTCGTTTATCGGGCACGCAGCTCCTTTCTTCGGGCACACAGCTCGTCTCCGAGCACACAGCTCATTTTGGTTTGCATTTTTGAACACACAGCTCAAGCACTTGAATTTCTGAACACGCAGCTCATACTCTTTGTCGTGATCACGCAGCCTACACTTTTTGAAATCTGAACACACAGCTCAAACTTTTGAATTTCTGAACACGCAGCCCAATTTGATTGTGAACACTACATTACATCTTTGATAGATGTCTGAAAGTGATCTTGTTCCTCTAACTGGTGGATCATCTACCAATTTATTTTCCCACTGCTCTGATACCAATTGTTAGTTTTTGAGAAGAGAAGAAAAACAGAAAAAATGAAGAATAGAAATTGAATGAAATGAAAGAATAAAAAACAGGAAATGATAAAAGCTGATATGATGCAGCAAAGAGTGATTATATTCATTCATACTGGTGCATTACATTTATAGTAAGAATATCTGAACTGAAAAGATAATGAATCCCAAAAATTATGGTAACAAACCAAGATTTCTGATAACACTAACAATATCCTAAAGAATAGGACTTATTGACTGGAAAAAAAATCAAATTCTAGTTATTGACTGAAACTAATCAAAGAAAACTTCAATGTGGCAGTCTTGAAGCAAATTATTAACACTCCTCCTTGCTTTAGGCGTTGCAAATTCCAATCATCTTCCTTAGTAACTCGAACTTGCCAACTGGAAGTGGCTTTGTGAACAAATCTGCCAGCTGATCTTCAGACTTGCAGTAAGCAAGTTTCACTTTTCCAGTTTGTTGCACTTCCCTCAAGAAGTAGAGCTTGATGTTGAAGTGTTTTGTTTTTCCGTGAAATACTGGATTTCGTGAAATTGCAATTGCTGCTTGATTATCAACAAAAATTTCAGTACCTTCATTTTGCACCATGTGTAAATCAGATAGAACTTTCCTTAGCCATAGAGCTTGGTTTGCTGCTGCAGTTGCTGCAATAAACTCTGCTTCTGCAGTGGATTGCGCTACAATCTCTTGTTTCTTTGAACACCATGAAAAAACACCTGAGCCTAGGTTGAAACAGTATCCTGAGGTACTTTTCATGTCATCAACAGAACCACCCCAATCACTATCTGAAAAACCACTCAACTTGAAGTTCTGACTCTTCTCAAAATTGACACCACAATCAAGACTGCCCTTAATAAACCTTAAGACTCTTTTTGCTGCTCTTAAATGCACTTCACTAGCACAATGCATAAAACGAGATAAGAGACTTACAACAAATAGAATATCAGGTCTTGTTGCTGTAAGATACATCAAGCAACCAATCAAACTTCTGTAATAGCCTTCATCAACTTTACTAGCACCATCTTCTTTGCTCAGCTTCTCTTTTTGACCCATTGGTGTGTTTATTGCTTTGCACTCCTCCATCTGAAATTTCTTCAAAATTTCCTTTGCATACTTCTTCTGACAGATGAAAACTTCATTTTGGCTTTGCTGGACCTCCAAGCCAAGAAAGTAAGTCATAAGACCAAGATCTGTCATCTCAAAGACCTGCATCATTTCTTGTTTGAACTCCTCAATCATCTGTGCATTATCTCCTGTTACCAAAAGGTCATCAACATAAAGAGATACAATAAGAACATAACTACCCTTTTGTTTAACATAAAGAGTAGCTTCAGATAAGCTTTTTGTGAAGCCTAAGCTTAGCAAATGTTCATCAATCCTGCTGTACCAAGCTTTTGGAGCTTGCTTTAGGCTGTAAAGAGCCTTTTTGAGCAAATAGACCTTATCCTCTTCACCTTGCACAACAAAACCTTCTGGCTGTTCCACATAAATTTCTTCTTGTAGAACACCATTTAGAAAAGCTGATTTGACATCTAGTTGAAACACTTTCTAGCCTTTTTGTGCTGATAAGGCTAACAACAACCTGATAGTGTCTAGTCTAGCAACAGGAGCAAACGTTTCAGAATAATCAGCACCAAAAATTTGAGCATAGCCCTTGACGACGAGCCTTGCTTTGTGTTTGTTGATGGAGTTATCAGCATTTAGCTTCGTTCGATACACCCACTTTACTCCAATGATCCTTCTGCCTTCTGGTTTGTTGACTAATTCCCAGGTTTTGTTTTTGTGAATCATTGACATCTCCTCCTCCATTGCTTTCTTCCACTTCGGGTCTTTAAGAGCTTCTTCATGATCAGCAGGTTCACATAATGCTACATTACATCTTTGATAGATGTCTGAAAGTGATCTTGTTCCTCTAACTGGTGGATCATCTACCAATTTATTTTCCCACTGCTCTGATACCAATTGTTAGTTTTTGAGAAGAGAAGAAAAACAGAGAAAATAAAGAATAGAAATTGAATGAAATGAAAGAATAAAAGCAGGAAATGATAAAAGCTGATATGATGCAACAAAGAGGAATAAACTTCATTCATTCCGGTGCATTACATTTATAGTAAGAATATCTGAACTGAAAAGATAATGAATCCCAAAAATTACGGTAACAACCAAGATTTCTGATAACACTAACAATATCCTAAAGAATAGGACTTATTGATTGGAAAAACAAATTCTAGTTATTGACTGAAACTAATCAAAGAAAACTTCAACGTGGCAGTCCTGAAGCAAATTATTAACAGATTCAAACAGCAGATGAGTTGTCAAAAATAATGGCATTCTTTTATTACGGAGCAGCCAAACTGCCTAGCTTGAATACCGTTGGAATAAGTGAAGAACCAGTCCCTACCATTTGAATCAACAGCGAATAGTGTCAGAATAAAAGTTGTACATAACTATATATATATGTATGCTATGGTTTAGAGAATGAGTTTCTGGGTTAGCGATGCTGTGTTTACCATGTTGTTCCCCATACAGATCAATGGACACCAAGAAAATTTAGCTCATACATACATTCTAGGGGAGATTTATAACTACATTTAGCAATTGTTTGTTAATTTCAGTGTGAAAATTGAAAATTTTGTTATTTATGAACAAGATGAATATGGAGTTTCTGTTGTTTTTTCTTTTTTTTTTCAAATAGTTTGTGTCCTGTTCTTTAATCGGTGATTTTGGTACCAATATAAATACTAGCTTGTTGCATTCACTACATAACCAATTGGTGTATGGAGAGGGCTCACATGAAAGGAAATTTCTTAGGGCCTGTGTATTCCTTGATTTTAGACATTTTTAATATGCTGTGCAGAGTTTCTAGTACCCTTTGAGAGACACGGGGGCTTATAAGTTCATGTCAATTTAGGCATTTATAGCTTTGAAAATCCAAGAGGGGATTCATATTTTAGCTACCAACTGGGCATTGGAACATTGGCGGTCGCCCCCCTAATGAACACTTCATCAAGTGTGACCTGTGCAAATGTGTTCCACGTGGAGTTCCATACACAGTGACAATTAATTTGTAGAGTTTATGCAAGCTATAATCCACACAACTCATGACACAAGTAAAAAGACTTCAAAATTAACATTCTCACAAATAATTATACGCAGAAATCGAATTTCAAATCATCTCAAACAATAAAAAGCACAAAAACCGGTCATATGGCATGCTAGAGCCCCCAATATCCACCGCTACGAACATTATTACACACTGACAAATATGGTCTACATTTAATCTTTATTTTGCAGAAAAGAAACTAACATAGCAGAGTTGGATAATAGAACAATTGACTTGATCCACCTCCTATTAGATAATCTCATACCCATGAACAACCCAAAACCTTCCCACCAACAAAGCATCCGATGCCACAGCCACTTCAATACTAGCAGCAGCCATCGTGACCCAAAGAGCATGGCAGCACCTGCTATTACAAAAGCAATAATATTAGCTCTAATGGCACAGAAAAACAAAAGAAAACAAAAACCTATAAAGATGAAACGTACCATCTCTGAATCATGGAGGACTCAATGAGCTCTCAGGGTGATTGACACACTGTCATAGGTAACCACAAATTCATACCATCAGCAGTATAGAAAATAAACTCTAGACATTTATGGCCATTTTGATGCAAAACCAATCCGAATAGACCATCTTAGATAGGTCAGGTTAAAAATAAATAAATGATTTATGTTCTTCAAACATAATCAGGTTCAGAAAAACAAATGATTTGCCTTCTTCAAATAATTTGTTACATTAATTTATCCTGCTTGTATATGAACTAGCTGAAGGTTAGATATGCTGACCACCATTTTGTAACGATTGTTCTCACAAATTATGTATGTATGCATCATTGATGAAACATAGGTAAGACGACGAGAGCTATAAAAAAGCTGAAGAAGCAGTCGACTATATTGATGGAAAGGAGCTTGGAAGAAGAACATTTAGCTCAGATTTTGCTATTGTAAGGCCTGGTTTAGAACTGAATAAACCAACCATTACATGAATTCTTTTAATTCAAGTAGTTCGGATACACTTGAATGTGAAAATTTTCTTTGGGCAAGCTTTCTTTAAAAAACACAAAAACAATTCAAAGAAAATATGTAACTATTTTTAACCAATAATTGTGATTGACAATGAAAATTGAAGTTCAAATTATGAATCATGCTAAACATGTCAAGCCTAATCAATTTTATGACAAATGTTTGTCATGAGAGGTACTATTCATCACACAAGTCCTGGTGCATGATTACACCCAATGTCTTAGGATAGGTTTATTTCGCCATAAAATATCATGGTTAATACTATTTGACATATATATCAAGTCTCATTATTTTCATGCACATTAAATATTTTTGTTCTCTTTCTCTCTCTACATACATATATGTATATATATATATATATATTTTATGGTTGAGCAATTGATCAAAATTAAGGGTTATTATTTTTGTTATATTCAATCCTTGTCTTCTTTTATTCTTGAATAAGTGTAAAAGACAATTTAGTCCCTAAAGTATGCGATGTTTTTTATTTTAATCCCTTAAGTTTCAATTTTGTCATTTTGGTCCTTAAAATTGTCAATTTGAGTCAATTTAGTCATAAGTCTAACGTCCGTCTATATTGATAACAGGAATATGAATAAAATATAGTTTTGGTCCCTAAAATATTCATTTATTGTCATTCTAGTCCCTCAAGTTTTAAATTTTGTCATTTTAGTTATCAAAGTTGTCAATTTGGTTATAGCTTAAATTAACAATTTTGAGAACCAAAATGACAAAATTTAAAACTTGAGAAACTAATATGACAAGAAATGGATACTTTAGGGACCAAAGTTATCTTTTACCAAAAGATAAAATATTTTTTCCATTATCAATGTAAACAAACATTAGAGATAGAACTAAATTGACTCAAATTGACAACTTTAAGGACCAAAATGACAAAATTGAAGGTTGAGAGACTGAAACTGTCTTTTATCCCTTGAATAATGATATACAAACATAAATTATATACAAAAAAATCTATATATAATGGTATATTACATTTATATCCACTCATTAAAAACAAAATTTCATTATTATAACTTATAATTGTAAGAGTATTGTTGTCACATCATTTATGTTTAATTTTATACGAAAATTATATATATGAATATAATCTTTCTGTATTTTTTTCTTTTTAAAGTTTACTCTATAATTAATTCTTTAATAATATTTTTGTTGGAGAAAATATTTTAGTGATAACCAAACATCCAAAAATAAAAATAAAAATAAAAATAAAAATTTCTTTTTGGACAAAATTACCTTACATGAAAAATATTTTATAGCAGAACAAACGGAGCCTTATTGTTGAAATCTCAATCAATTTGAGATTAATTTGTTTAACAACTTCTATGAATTGGCGAAAATATACAAATTCAAATTTAGATACTGAACAAATTAAGGTGAATGTTAATTTATTATTTGGTGAAATTTTTTTTTTTTAAATTATTTATTTATAAATGGGTTACCCTTGGCTATTTATTTGATATAGTGTGTTACAGTTGTAAACCAACTACTAATACAATGAGCAAAAGAAGAATCATATACCTTTATAGTGATTTTTGGTATGTGCGCAATCTTATACCAATCCTCCCCCTTTCCCTTCTTACATCGCCTTTCCAGTTCACAGCAGTTGATAATGTGCAACGATTGGAGAGATTCAAGGCCTCGTACCCCTTCCTCTGGCAAAGACTCGAGCTTTGGACATCCTTTGATCTTCAATGACTTCAATGTGACAAGGCTTGCAAGGTCTCTAGGCAACAGTTTAAGTTCACCACAATTTTTAATCACTAGTGACTCAAGAAGAGTAAGGTTCCTCAGAAACTCTTTTGGAAAACAAACCATCTGGTTATCATAACCAATAGTGAGGGAAGTGAGACCATTAAGATTTGATATTGAATTTAGTACCATGGCACACTCGCCAACAAACCACAAGTTTTTGGGAGCCGAAAGATGCGGGAAGCTCAATTTAGGACAATAAGCAATAATTATCTTACGAAGACGAGGGAACAACTCTCTTCCCTCCTCCCTTGACAAACCTTCCAATTTCGGACAATAGCGAACTGTGAGTTCTTCCAAAGATGGGAATCCTCCACCGCCAGGATATTCGTTTTCAATACACCCCACTACTTTCATTACAGAAATTTCAAGGCTTTGTAGCAAAGGTAGTTGTCCAAGCGGTGGAAGTTGTAAGCAGTTGTTGCACCTGGAGAGCCGGATATTAACTACATTTTGAAGATCTAAACCCCTCATCCAGAGCGGGAATTGAGTACCTATGTACCCGCTTATGTCCAACTTCTTTAGGTTTGGATGAGGTTGAAGGGCTTCAAGTACTAGCTGAGATTTAACATCTTCCTGTGATTCACATTCAGCAAAACCACATGCCCACTTTAGTTGCAACTGACTAAGATTTTGCATTCCCACTAAATTGGCTTCTTTTGCATCCATCGGATTTCTCACTCTCTCAAGGTGCCAGATACAAAGTTCTCCTTGAAGGTTTAAGCATTTCAATTCAGCTAGGAGACTACAACCAGTGCTCTCACCCACAACAAATTCATTTAATGTCTTCAGGTTAGTTAGCTGCCCAATTTTTGGGGGCATCTCAATTAACCGACACCCTGACAGAAAAAGATGCCGGAGACTTCTCAGGTACATCATGTTCTGGGGCAATCTCTCAAGATTGTGACAGTGTTCTAGGATTAATGTTTGCAAATTCAAGAGATTACAAATTGAATCAGGAAGTCGCACAAAACCAGAATCGGAAAGGTTTAAATACCTCAAATGTTTTGCGTTGCCAATTGAAGGTGGCAACTCTGCCACTCTGGCCGGTGCATCAAAAGCTCGCAGTGAACCAAACATTCTGAAATCACACAAAAATAAGTCATCTAGTAATAAGCAATTTGAATGTTGTTGTCGTAATGTCCGTAAGGATACAACTTTGTGAAATGTGATATGAAAATTTTCCTTGCGCCCGGCAACCAATGTTAGATGATGAGCTTTTCCGTTGTATATATCACTTGAACTGTTAAACCCGATCATTTGACATTCACCCTTCATAATTGATTGGGCAAGATCGTGCACAAGATCATGCATCTTGAAATATACATCACTTCCGTAGTCCTTCACCTCTTGGAAAAAAGATACCAAACATAATTCATTCCAAATCTGATCACCAATATCTTCCGGTTCCCATCCTCCTTTGCATGAAATATAGCCATTAGCCATCCAAAGATGAATTAGGTCTCTCTTTCGAATTTGAGAACCCTTTGGGAAAATGGCACAATAAGCAAAACATTGTCTTGATTCCAATGGAAGATAAAAGTAACTTAATCTTAAGGCAGGCAAGATGGAATTTTTGTCCTGCGGTAATTTCCAAATTTCACTTTCCTTAACATGAAGCCACTCTTTTTCCTCACTTTTGAAGCGCATTAGCCCTCCGAGGGCCTTCGCAGCTAAAGGCACACCCCCGCACTTCTTCACTATCTCCTTCCCAATGGCGACAATGTTTGGGCGTTCTTCATTTCCAAGTCCAAATGCTCGTTGCCTGAACAACAACCAACAATCTTCTTTGGATAAAACTGACAAGCGATGAGGTGAAATAGTTCCCATGATTGATGCAACCTTATCAACACGAGTAGTGACGATAACGGAAGCACCTTTTGATCCACATGCTAGTGAATACTTGAACGCATCCCACTTGTCTGGATTCTCGTCCCACACATCATCTAATACAATCAGGTATCTTTTCCCATTCAACGAAGTGCTTACCTTCTTGAGAGAACCATAACCTTGGTTTTTTAATTCACATCGGAGGGCTTCAGTTGCGCACTCATCCAAGATGTCATCTGCCTCGTAGGCTGCATCATTGAGCTCTTTCAACCAATTCTGTATAACTTTGTCTTGCAGTTGCTTTTGCTCTGCATCTTCAAGGACAGCCTGGATTGTGGAGAGAGTGCTTGAAAGCTTTTTCATCTCCGTGTTTACTCCACAGAGCAATCCCACCTCATTTTGGATCAAGGAGTTGAGATTTTTAAGCACAAACGGAAGAAATGGAACAGCCATGGGCACTTGTTTTCTGGATTCAAGGTGTTAGGCTCAAAAATGAAACTGCAAATGCTTTGCCAAACTGAATGACCAATTTTTTTTTTTTAACGAAGGTTTAGCTTTGGAAAATTCGCATGCGTGCCTATAAAGAAGTGTACATATATGTTTATGTTTCCAACATTGCTTTGTTAATTGCAAGGACATGTGCATCCCACTGGTTTCATGGTAAGACTGTGCAGCAGTTCATTTTCGCTTGTCTAGCCAAGAAATAAACAATCTTTTATTTCTTTGAGGGGAATCTTGATATAAAAATCGTTGAATTTACACGCATATCAAAATTGAATTGACCAATAACATTTTCAATTCAAAATGGGTGCAATTTACTGCATTTGCTACCTAACTCCTGAGTAGAACCAGTGCTACTGTTAAGTTAATTATATTGGATTGTTTAGGCACAAGCAAGCATCCAAAATTGCTTTGGTTCTTTGGACATGTGGTGTCTTTTACGGAGACAGTTGGACCTTACTTTTTCAACATGATCGACTCCTTTTTAAAAAAAAAAATTGATTTATAAATAGTATTTTTATGCATAAAATTTATCCAAAATAAACTGGCATTGATATTTTTGTAATTATAAATCATAATACCCGGTGTGTTTGTCTCAAGAAAAATTTATTTTTTTTGTAAGAGCGCGACTTCATAATGTTTGCATCCCACATTGGTGGTAGATGATGTCCAAGATAATGGTACAAAATATTTCTGTTATGAAGAGGCATTTTGAGTTGGAGCTCAAAGGAACAAATTCGAAAAATTGATTGTAAGTTAGATCATAGCAAACAATAGTCTGGAAATGGAGAACTTTCTTTGTTAATTTTGTGCACCCTATATTGGCATTTTGGCAATCAGTGAGTATATTAATAGGTGAGTCAATGTTTCAACATTGCTTTGTTAATTTAGCATGAAAACTGCATCCCATTGGTTTCATGTGCACTACCCTAGCATCTTGGCAGTGTCAGTGATTATATTAATAGATGAGTCCATGTTTCAACCGTTAAACAAAAATAAATGATTTCTCATAAATAAATTAATTAATAAAAATAAAAATTAAATCAATAACGACATAAGAATTTTTATATTATTTTCTCAATGTGAGATACGTTCACAGAATTGAAATCCGATTCCACTATCAAGTAAGAGTTTTCAAATAATTACAAATGAGATACGAATGGTCTCACAAATCACTCTTAAATAAATTTCAAATAATTACAAATAAATAGAGCAAAGACCTCACCAAAGTAGATGAACCAATTATCTTCAAAACAAAGTATAGAGGACCCAAAATAATAGACCCAAATCAATCTCCACAACAAAACCTTCGAAGTTGCACTGAAAGTTCGCCCTACACAAATAAGATTGAACCAAGTTCGTTTCTTCCAGCCAAAATACACTCACAGTACTTGACAAATCAAACCACTGAATTGGTCCTTCTCACAAGCACACATCCACCGAAATATATCCATCAGCCGCTGCACTTTTTCGGAAAAACAAATACAATATCAAAAAAATAATGTTGATTCTTGGGCTTTCTATCAAAGTCTTAATTGTTACCAAACAGATTATTAAATATTTATTGGGGTTCCAAAAGTCAAATATAATTTACATCAAACCAAATTAAATATTTTTAATAAACTAATTGAGTCTCATACTCCACTCAGAAGATATCCCCAACAATTCTCCCTTTACCGATTTAGGTGGAACTATCAACCACATCTGCCAAAGTTTGACACTTCAAATGTTCATCCCTCGACAAAGTCTTAGTCAATATATCTGAAATATTATCATCCGTGCAAATCTTTTCGAGTTGTAACAATTTTAAATCTAGCACATCACGAATCTAATGGTATCTCACATCAATGTATTTCGATCTTGAATAAAAAGTAGATTTTTTTACTCAAATGAATAGCACTTTAACTATTACAATAAAACACATACATTTCTTGCTTTAAGCCCAATTCTTGCGAAAATTTCTTCAACCATAACTCTTCCTTGCAAGCTTCTGCAATGGCAATAAATTCAATTTTTGTAGTTGAAAGAGTAACACATTTTTGCAATTTAGATTGCCATGCCACAGCTCCCTTGCAAAATTCATTAAATACCCCGAAGTAGATTTCCTAGACCTCTCAAGAACCTTCTCAATGTAGCTTTCTTGAGACAATCAAATCAGTCCCTTCCTTCGATCACGAACAATCTTCATACCAAATATTTATTTTACCGGCCCCAAATCTTTCATCACTACAACAAAAAAGGATTTTTACGGCACCAAATGCATGTCGTGGAAATGATTCTACGACGCGCAAGGTAAAGCCATATTATGACCAATCATGGAAAGTCATTCACTTTCAACAGCATGCCATAGTATGCCATTAAAACTTTTAACAGCGCATCTTACATGTCATGTTTAATTTTTCTACGACTACTTTTGAACGCCGTTAATTCAAGAGACAAACTACAACACTCATTACTAGTCATTAAATATTTAATACAACGGCCTATTCTGCCCGTTGTAGATTGTGTTTTTTTTTTCAACACGTTCTATTCTACCTGTTTTGTACAATCTAAAAAAATATTACAAACAAGTTTCATAAACATATGTATATATAAGTATCAATCAACCACCAAAATATTATTTCAAGCATCAAAAAAACTATTTATAAGTTTCGAACATCCAAAAACTGTCTGTACATTACAAACCATCCAAAAACTATGTTTCTAAACATCAAAAACTGTCCTCAACTTCAAAACCGTCCAAAAAGCTCTAAATCATCCCCCCCCCCTCCCCCCCAAAAAAAAAGGGGAAAAAGGCAAAAGAGAGAGAAGGTAAATTACACTAGTAACCCCTTTAGTTTAATTTAAATTTCATTTTAATCGCTATAATCTCATATTGAACTATTGAGTTCTGACACTTGAAATTTAATTTTAATTTGGTCTTTCTATTTGACTTAGGGGAGCAAATGTTGAGATTTCAAAATAAAATTTAGGAGGACTTACGTATAGGTCCTAATAGATAGATTTATCATCCAATAGAAACTATGATAATTAATGACATTTTCTTTATCAAACACTATTAAACAATGTCATTAATTGTTAATATTCAGCGACAGTTTGAAAATTGTCACAAAAAATGTCACTAATTATAAGTTTTAGCAACAGTTTAAAAAAAATCTTCACAAAAAAATGTTACTAATTTTCAATTTTCAGCGATAGTGTGAAAATTTGTTATAGAAAAATATCACTAATTATTAGTTTTAGTGACAATTTATAAAAATTGTGACAAAAAATTAACTAGTTAATTTTTAGCAACATATGCAAAAAATTGTTACAAAAAATTATTTTTAGCAATAATTTTACTATAACTAATTTTCAATAAGATTTGATGGAAATTAAATTCAACTATTAAGATTTATTGGTAGTTTATCCTAAAATTTAATTTAAGTCAAATTATACAAATTGAAAGTATAATTTTCCTTTAAAAAATTAAAAATAGAAACTATGATGGTGATGTAATTGGAAAAAATCGAGGCCCATAACATTTTCCATCCCATTGATTCAACAAAAGTTCAAAGTCAATGAAATATGGATTGTTGCACCGAAGTCACTTGAAATGTCTAAAGGTATGAATTGGTTTGCCTAATGGCATGGCAAGGTGGTGTTATATTTTTTAGTTTGGTGAAGAGTTGAGTGCAATAGTAGAGTTGGGGTAGGAGGGCGTCGCTGTCTCAAAAATTTTAAAAATATTATATATTATATTAAAAAGTTTTAAAAATAAAAACAATCATTGTAATGTAATTGAAAAATCGAGGCCCACAACATTTTTCCGCGTAAGGATCCTCTAGGGTGAAATCCTACATTGATCTCCTACAGTGATGCATGAATGGCTGCCACGTGTCTTACTCAGCTTCCAAGGGCTGAGATGCAAGTTTTGGTGAGTAATTTTTTTTTAAAAAAAAAAATTCAGATTTCACAAAAACACAGAGAAAGAGAGAGAGAGAGAGAGAGAGAGAGAGAGAGAGAGAGAGAGATGGCCATTGATTGTGTGTGGCATGATCATCCACTCCAACCCAGATCAATCCCAACAGATGGCCAGTTGTACATTCTTCCCCCATATTTTTTGCCACA